GACTCAACCACCGAAGACAACTAATCATTCCCAACTGACCGTACATATGTCGATTGAGTGCTTGAACAACAATCAGTGAGCGGCGATTTTGCGAACGAAATTTTCTTCAGCGACGAAAGCACATTTCTCACCCGGGGGATAACTAACTAAGCAGACTTGTCGCATTTGAGACTTCTGCAATACCCAAAGATTTAAAGAGAGATCATTACACACAAAGCACATTATACTGTCTGGTTCGCCCTTTGGTTCGGAGGGATGATTAGAAACCTCAAATTATTCTACAACTATGCCATCCCCTTCAAAATAGTCCCTTTGGGCAGCTATATAACGATTCCAGCGTACTTTCCATGCTTCGTAACATTTGTGGAACGCTTTGACTGCGATGTCCGCGAGCACCCTCGTGCCGGCCGTTTGGATGTCTTGAATCGACTTAAAATGGGTTTCTTTGACCACCGATTTTGTTCTAAGGAATAAAAAAGAGTCACAGGGTGACATACCGCGCGATGATAAGGCGGTTCTTGCAACACGGCACTCCCTTTAGGGGTCAAATTCGGACGCGCTGAGGGCGATGTGGCACGGCGCGTTGTAGTGATGAAGGATCCACTTACGAGCGATGTCTGGGCGCACCCTCTTGACACGGCTATCAAAAGGGTATTAATCATCGTCTTCACCCTCAACTTCTTCACGCGAGCTTTTTTCGGGCGGAGGGCGTGCAGAGTCAGGCATTGTGAACTTTAGCACGACTTAGAGCACAATCACCATGCACTTTTACAATTTTGGCGTACCTTTCCGAAGCTGTTTCGTCTGAATTGGCCCAAATTTTTATCACGACGAGCACCACGAACACACCTTTACTCAACACGACACAGCAGGCGAACTAAGCAAGCTAGAGCGATGGCAAATAAATATATCAATGTAGTGGAGAGGGAAAGAGAATTTCAAGGTTGCAGGGTTACCACAGTCTCCTTTCTTTAATGTCACACCTCGTATAATTGATTATTTGTAACCGCTGTAGCGATGTCCGACGAAGCTCCTCCTCCAGCTTGTATGATAGTTTTGTGTCTTGATGGTTTTCAAACAAATGGAGGAAGCTACAGCTTAAAATAAGCCACCTCCGAACGACCGATGGATTTTTATGAGGAGCCATGGCAGAACTACACTCGGAAGGCTTGATATTCACTGTCGAGGGGCAACCGAAATTTGAAAATTTAACTTAGATATTTATTTTAAATTAATATTCCAAATTTTTGGATATTCAGCGTATCAGGATCTCGTATAATTTTATTCCATATACCTGTATGTACAACTGAAATTTGTATAAGTGCCGATTTATGCTTACATTTTTCTAAGAAACAAAACAGTTTTGTCTTCCTTTCTTTCGCTTATCCGTATTTGTCAACGTAATCGCCTCAAGTGCCAATCACGCACTCTCGCCTGTCTTGACAGCGAACTCCCAACTCATATGTATATATGTAGTCCCACATGTAGTTTTGAATTGGCAAAATAATAGGCAATAAATAAGGCAGTTATTATGTATATATATATATATATATAGTATATGTTAATACGCACAAGTATATGTACATATATATATTTTGGTCTTTTGTTAAATTATGATTGATATGTTTGAATGGAAATTACTGGGGTGGAGTCGAGCGCAATTTGATATGCTTGAGTAAACAAGTGAAAGGAAATACACACTAACAAACATAAGAAAAGGTGTCGGTAAGTGAAAGCGAGATAGCGCATACGGAAGTGTAAACAAAGCAGCTCATTCTGGCATTTGTATGTGTGCGTGCGTGTGCAAAAGGATAACGCTTGAGTGCAAATGAATGAGAGGGACTATCGAAAAAACGCCTCATCATAATGACTTTATTGTTTTGTATTTAGATTCTTTTTTTCTGTGTTTACTCCCATCAGTATTTAAGACTTTTGTGGTTCACTGCACGCTAGTTACCGTTAGAATATTTGCCTATATTTTATTTATGGAACATTAAACGAGTTCGATGTTTGCTTTAATATTTGAGTATTTTCTAAACCAGTCTTTACGCGAAATAAAAGCTTCTGAGGCGGCTTAGAATAAACCCTAAGCTAGTTTATTCTGTTGGAAAGCATTAAGACACATATCACCAATTAAGGAAGGAGCTCTACCGAAAATTACTTCAACGATTATAAAGCTTCAGTTATATATACATACATACATACTTCTTGCTTCTACTACTACACCGCTCGTCATATTATTGTAATCAGGTTTTGAGCATAAGCTGGCTCACAAAACGTTGAATCTGCGAAGAGAAAGCTAGCAGCGAAAAATATTCTTTATAGCAAGGTTGCCATCTATTTCAAATTTTTTTTTTTAATTTTTTTGGTAATTTAATTATGATATGTGAGTATCAATCATATCCATATTAAGAAGATTTTATATCGAGAATATTTTTAAAGAGCGTTGCCACCTTTTTACATAAATTATTTGAAATATTACTTTATATGACCCTATTTAATTATGATATGTGAGTATCAATCATATCCATATTAAGAAGATTTTATATCGAGAATATTTTTAAAGAGCGTTGCCACCTTGTTACATAAATCATTTGAAATATTACTTTATATGCACGTATCAAACGAAAGAGCTTTAAGAAGCTCACTCCAAAAAAATTTTTTAAGGGAGAGTTGCCAACGCTTTTTTTTAATGAAAAAAATATTTACAAATTTTACACTGCGAGGTTTCCTCTATACTGAGCGAGCTCTTAATAATGTCTTTCACGCGGTCTTTTCCTCGTCAGTTCGAGAAACTTGTTCTGAGACGAATTAAGTGAAACTGTGGAAATTTCTTTCAGAAAACATAATAATGTTCACTAAATTCGTTAATCCGACCAAGATCAGATAAGTTCTTCTGTACCTGTTTCTTTTACGTTGTTCATGGGCGACCTTGCTTTCGTAGCTCATTTAAAGCCTTCTCTTTTTTAATTAAATTATTAATTTTCATATTAAAAAATCATGTTTGCGTACTTACATACGTAACACTCCCTGGATTGATACATGTTTATTTTTATTTATTTTGTTTTTATAATAAAAATTTATATAACGTGGCAACCCTATAAAGAAACACTTTATATTTAAACCTTCTCATTTTATGATTAAATTTGCTTACCAATTTTTTTATTTAAAAAAGCGTTACTCTGTCCAAATTTATCTAATGTGGCAACCCTATTAACGAAAAAATTTAAGTTTAAACCTTCTTGATGCTCATATTTTATGATTTGTTTTTCTGAAATTTTTTCTATTTAAAAAACTTTGACAACTCTCCCTTAATTTATATAATATGGCAACTCTATAAACCAATATTTTATATTTAATCCTTATCCAAGCTAATATTTTATGATTTAATTTTTTAAAATTTTTTCTTTTATTTAAAAAAGGGTTGGCAACTCTCCTTAAATTAGTATTATGTGGCAACCTTATAAACAAACATATTAATTTTTAACCTGCTCATATTTTATGATTAAATTTTTTTACCAATTTTTTTTTCTTAAAAAGCGTTGGCAACTCTCCCTAAATTTATATAAAATGGCAACCTTATAAACAAACATTTTAACTTTAAACCTTCTCAATGCTCATATTGTATGATTTTTTTTTTTTTGTTTTCTGTTTTCCTATCAATTTTTTTTATATAAAAAGCTTTGGCAACTCTCCCTAAAAAACATTTTTTTCTGTGAGCTTCTTAAAGCTCTTTAGTTTGATACGTGCATGTAAATTATTATTTCAACCAATTTATGCAAAAAATGGCAACGTTCTTTAAAAATATTCTCGATTTAAAATTTTCTTAATTTTGTTAGTATTGAAACAAATATTTCATATTTAAATTAAATTACTACCTTTTAATTTAAAAAAGTGAAATAGATGGAAAACTTTTCTAACAAAAAATATTTTCCGCTGTATGCTCTCTTAAAGTTATTTAGTATTAAATGTACAATACAAAAATGGTTACACCATTTTTATTACTAAATTTTAATTATGTGGCAACTCCTTTTAGGGTTATTTTTCATTTTAAAATTACTTAACTATGCTCTAGGACCGATGTTTAGTCATGTTGATTTTTAATATTAATTACATTTTTTTAAGTGAAACAGATGGCACCTTTATTTATTTATTTTTCTATGATTTTCCATTTTGGTGAAAAATTGGAATTCTGTACACTTTAGGTATCTTTTTTTTAAATTTATTGATGATGTTGAGATTTATACTCATATTTCATATTTAAATTAACTTACTATCTTTTAATTTAAAAAAGCGAACAGGTGGCAACCTTTGTAAAGAAATTTTTTTTGTTGTAAGCTTTCTTAAAGTTATTTAGTATTAAATGTACAATACAATAAATTATTCTAGCTACGCAATTTTTACGCCATTTTTATTACCAAATTTTAATTATGTGGCAACTCCTTTTAGGCATATTTTCCGTTTTAAAATTACTGAACTCTGCTCTAGGGCAGATATATAGTAATGTATATTTTTAATATTAATTATATGTTTTTAAGTGAAACAGGTGGCACCTCTACCTATTTATTTTTCTGCGATTTTCTTTATTCACTTTTGGGTTCTTTATCTTTATACTCGTATGTGTCCATTCCTCCCACAGCGTTATGAATATACCGCCTATGGCGCCATCTAACGTGTAAATTTTTGGTGGAAAAATGTGAAATCTATACACTTTAGGTTTCCTTTTTAAGATTTTGGCACTGAAAAAAAAAATTAAATTATTTTTGGGAAAAAACTTGCCCAATGGTAGTTCCAGAAAAGTACATTTTACATAATTAGAATCAGTTCAACCGTTCGTATCGCGCAGCGCCGTCATACAGAAGCCATTATATATATATATATAAATACTCATATATTTATACATACACATTGATTTTGATCGCTTAGTAATCTTTCACTTTATCTTCTTTTTCTCTTCTTTTTCTACCACTCCAAACCAACTGCACGCACTGCTCTCGCAGGCAACGGTGTGGCTGGCAATTCATTGGGCGATAATAATCAAACGCCAGTGCGTAATCCTCCCGGCGCTTTTCACAATTCAGCAAACTCACTGGCGCAACATAATCTACTTGGCGGCATAATTCTTTGGATTAAAATGCAATCATTTGGGATTTACAAGCGTTTATCGAGTTTGTACCGGCAGCCACAGCAACAACCACAACAACGTATGGAAGCACAATGTTTTGAGGCAAAAACGAAACAAAAGCAAGGAAAACAGCGGTTGGTGGTAGCGTGGGATAAACAAAGATTACAGCAAATGAAAGTGGTGGAACAACAACAACAACAACAACAACAACAACAACAACAACAACAACAACAACAACAACTACCACTAAAGCAGCAAGTGAAAAATCATTTTTCTTCACTTCAACGATTCGCCACTGCGTATGAGCAATCAGCATCAGCATGGATGAAGAATAATAATAACAACAACAACACAACTAATGTTGTTGCTGAATATATGTATACAAGTGCTGCTGATATCCAGCTGCCGCTCTTGAGCCAAATTGCATGCGTGGAGCCGAAATTGCGCGTACCGCACAGTGAGGCGAAAGTGAAAAATGTTGTTGAACAAGAGAGTAATGTGTTGTGCAATAACAAAAACAAAAATAAATTGCTTGCTCAACCGGCACAGAGACTAATGTCCATTATTTTGCGGCCACTTGTGTGGACAGTGCCATTTTTGCAGCATCTTCTGGGCAAATCAATGAGCACAATTGCACATATGCTCAGCAAATTACTTCAAGCGGCGAAAATAACGGCGCTGAAGGCGAATAAAGTTCTAGTGAACTACAAAAATATGATAACAGCACTGACAGTTGGTTGTAGACTGAGCATTTGGCGCCACAGAGATGCTCGCATGTATTCTATAGAAACTAAAGTGAAGTCTACTAGTCAGCGGGATGTGCCTAAAGTGCGTGCTGAAGGCAACAAACGGCATGAAAACAACAACAGTGAAATTTCGGCCAACAACAGTAACAACAGCGTGGCTTTTATTTTGAAAAACAACAACAAAAAACCGCTTAATATAATAAAAAACCTCGACAGCAGTTTGACTGAGTGCAGCGAAAACATTTTACAAGCACACAAAAACACCTATAACAACAACAACAACAAAAATGTCAACAACACACTCAACACTGTTGAGTATCGAAAGAGCTACTTTAATGCATTTGAGCCTAAAATAGGCGATCTTCTCACATCGTCTACGCTCAGTCACGCTCTCTTAACGGTATTTATTACATTTCCGCTATTGTTGACATTTACAGTTACAACGCTGGGTTCTCAGAACTATTTAGCTGCGTTGTTATTTTTTAGCGCATATGTGAGTGAAATATATATACAACAACAAAAACAGCATAAACAACAACAGAAACAGCATAAACAACAACAACATACAATGCTTGCAAAGTCATACGCTAATAAACAGCCCCGCAGCAGTAACAGCAGTGGCATTACTAAAACAACACTGACCACAGCAACAACAACAACAAAATTATTACCAATCAATAGCAAAAGGCTTTTGTATGCGCGGCAGCTCACCAATTTACTCGCAAGCATAACAAGATTGCGCTGCTGCCGCCGCCAATGGCGTTTGCACAAGTCATCATTAATGCCAGCAGCAATAACAGCAACAACAACAACAACAAGAGCGAAAACAGCAGCTGGCACCGTTAGCTTACGCCATCAACCACATGCTTTAACAATAAGCAGCCGCAAAAGGCCAACAATAAACCGCTACACGAGAGAAGCAGCAACAGCAGCGACAACAACAACAGCAGCAGCAGCAGCGGCAGTGACAGCAGCATCCACCATAACTGCATGCAGTACAATAAATACGCAAATAATCACTAAAACAATAACAACAACAACAGCAGCGTCTACAGTAACACACGCATCAACAGCAACAGCAACAACAACAACATTAATGACAACGACAATTGTAACGAGCCTCGGCGTATGTTGCGGTTCAGCATTGAGATGAAATCAAATGATTACACGCTGTCGGCAAATGTGTGGTGCGGGGATATCGGTGTCGGTGTAGGTGTTGATGTTGGTGTTGGTGTTGGTGTTGGTATTGGTGCTGCTGGGGGTCGGGAATTTGTGGTTGCTGATGATGTGGCTGATGAGTTGCAAAACATTAGCGAAGGGCAAGTACTAAGTAAACGCACAATGGGTACAATATACATACAAACATACAAACATACATACATACATACATATTAACTAATGAATACGCGAAATTAAACACACACATATGCATACATATATGGGAAATAGGCAAGGTGGAAATGTGGTATGAATAGATATATACAAATCCAGCAAACGTCTTTATACATATATATAGTATATATATATAGATAACGATTCCGCATATTCGTGCCACGTACTCGGTTGTATGTACTTGGGATAATCAAAAGTATAATTTCCATTTGTATTTTTACTGTTTGAGATTTCCGACAAGTGAAAAGCCTACACTAGATGACAACGGGTGACAGCTTTTTAGGGAAAAAATTCAGTACAATGAAAGCCGAACGACGTACCCAGGACCTTTTGAAACCATGGAGACTAAAATCCACACACCCCACCATATTCTCTCTGAACTGCTATGTCCGCTCTGAACCACCCTGTGGCCTTGAGAAAGTTATTTAACTCCAATGAGTTTAGTTGTTGTGAACTTCTGAGGCATTTAACCGAGAGTTTGTCAGCCTAATTCTACATTTTATAGCCACTGTTGTTGTGGGTCTGTTGGCAGCTTGACGGTCGGCATATATCGTAACTGATCATGCCGCTGCCGTAGATGCTGAACAATCCCGCGGAGCTTCCATGATTTCAAAGAGTTCAGCTTGGAATATGCTGCAGTGGTCTGGTAGTCGAATGTTTATATTTATAGAGAGCATCGGAGAGTGGTTTCCACAGCTCAAAATGGCTTTGGGTCCCTGACTGCGAGCGTTTGGTGTTCTCTCACTCATTTCTCTTTGGTATTTTCGTAAAAAAAATATTTTTGAAGCTCACACTGGAGGTTGTTTAGTCCAGCTCTTTTGGAACTTTTGCAAGCGATAATATTTTAACGTGTTCTATGCAGCAGTCCTTTCAATGCTGAGTTGCATTAAATTTAATTGCATTACTGCTCGCTTGTAAATTCTCCGACCAGTTCCAGCGGCAGGGCAGGCAGTTTGACAAAAGTTAGCAAAGCTTTTGAGACAGTTTTTAATAGTACTTTTCTAACCGCTGAACTTTCACTAGCTTGTAAGCGAAAGCAATTTCTCACCGTAGGCTGTTTGGTCTAACTTTCGATATATAAATCCAGTACGCCACAAGGCAGTAAGCAATTTGAGTCCCTGAGATCTTCACTTTGAATTTCAAGAGTCGACATGAGCTGCCCGCATACCACTCTGGTTGATTACAATTACCTGGAATATCTCTGTATCCTGGTACCCATTGAAATACAGTGTTAGTTAGAGGTTAGGATATTCTTTCAATATCTTCGGGGAGAGTCTAACAGGCTTAAATGTTTTAAATCCTCTCCATGTAAATCAACTTATTATTCCTCACTCTTTGTCAGAACCAGAAGACCTTACTTGATTGCAGTAATCTCTACTTGGAAAACACTGCAGAAACTATATGGTTAAATGGTAAGCCTGGCATCCGGATTTGCTGAAAAGACACCACCTTTCATTCGATTATCTATATTGGATCCGTCCGCATAGATACTTATCTCTGTGTCTTTGTTCACATCACCTCGCCGATCCCACTCTTCTCTGGAGGGAAGGGCAGTATTGAGGATCGAATTTAAATTCAATTCAACTCCAAAGGAACTCGCTGAGTGTCTTTGAAAGTCCTTTTTTACAGGCAACTAATAAAAACTAACCCTCTGCCTAAGTGCTGACTTCGCTGCCTGTCTGCCGCCTGGCTACATGCCTCAAACCAGCTGAGAATCAAGACGTGCAGGTGGTATGATGTTAGTCGTCAGAAAACAGAGAGACTGCAACTGACTTTCGGGCAAGCTCTGGCAGCTATAAAAAAGGTGCACTGACATGACACGGAAAGGAATGGCGCAGCGAGGACTGCGATTTATGCTGAACCGACTGAAGATTAGAAAGATTGTCAGACCACTGCAATATCTAGTCGGCGCTTAGCAAAGCTGGCTGACCATATTGGGTGTGGATAAGCTGATGAATCCTACAGAAGGTCGACTTCACAGCAACTGAACATAATATCCATATTTTTTGTGTTCTGATCTAGATCCTGCAAATTTCCACTCTTACATCTAATATAACCCTTTCCCCGAAGTCAAGCGACTAAGCATAATCCACCAATAAAAGTTGCGGATTAAGTTTAATTTTTACATGCGGGCTAAACAAAGCGAAGTCCACCTTCTTCAACAGAACCACAATCTGATGACCTTCACTCGTCATAATTTCTTTTGGTATCAAACTATATAAAGTAGAGCGCGGACGAACTCAGTTCTCATCTCCTCTCATTCACGCAAAAGCACTTGAAACTCTACTTAGTCTTGTTAGACCTGTATAGAAAACTTCATGGCAGCCGTAACGTCATAAGGTTAAGTGGAATTCAGCTACAGAGAACCGCATATCCAAAAATTAAACTCGACATCATTCGCCGGGTGGAACGATTGGAAAATAAAACAGTTTTACAGCTCAAAACAGGACAAGATATGGGGTTTATCCAGTGTCATTAGCAACTACAATTGCATGAATCGTCTCTTGGTCACTTCATTTTGCGGTTTAAATTTAGCCCATCGCGATTCCCTCTGTCAGCCAAGCCGTCTCAAGCCTTTTCACGTCTAACGTGGCAGTGCGATGCAGGCAAGTTTTAAACAAACCCAAGACTGACTGCGAAATTGCTTAGGTCTTCTGGTACAGAGGCATTCTAAGAAACTTTGGGGAAGATGAGCCGACAATCAGAGGAAGAGTTCAATAATAAATTCTGCACACGTCGTGGGTATACCACTCACTTTGGCAGTAAACCAACTAAGATCGGGTTTAAACATTAGTAGCAACATCCGTTGAGTGGAAAAACTACATGCAATGACACCAGACAGATCTGAACTTCAACTAAGAAGAGGGAAACAAAGTCTCCAAACCTTTCAAGCCGGATCTCCAATATAATGAGAACCGGCGCAATAACTGTCGTTGTTTGATGATTACTCAGGGATGGAAGCAGGGTGGATTGGATGAAGAAAAAGTACTCTCAAAGATCCTGCACATGTTTACATACCACAAAAGAGTACCGAATTCAAATTTCTTTTATTGAGGAGAAGTTTTTCATAAACAATAATTTTGTATAATATTTCAATCTTTCTAGCAGTGTCCCTATTTTTGTTTGATTTTTGAAGGATTTATTGAAGTGAAGTTCATATCCTTAATTTTTAGGTCTAATTTTGTACTAGAGAAGGCTGATTTTTTCATAATTTTTTCTCCAACGAAAGGGGTGAACAGAAAGATTTTCTTTCCCCGGATGGCTGGTTGAAATATTAGGCCTATTATAAATTATTTAAATAGCAAACAATTTGTTGTAAAATATTTACGGTAATAAAAGTATATTTTTGAGTTACTAAAACATTTTTTCGAACCACCCTAATAGTCGAGAAACCACAGCTGAGTCAGAAAGAAATTGTCATGAAAATCGCTAACCAATAAACAAGGAAATCTAGACGTGCAGGAAATGAACATAAAAAGCAAGAAAGTATGTAGGTAAATAACAGAAAAATTATGCCACATTGGGAGACGTGGAAAATTGCTGAACACACATAACTCACATATCCTTGGAGCAAATGCTTACAAATGCGATATACAAAACGCGCAAACACACCCAACCGTTATAATATGTGCCGCTATATGTGTGTGTGTACACACAATACAAACAAAATAACGCACACATACACACACACAGAGAGAGTCTGTACACTTCCGCTAAAACACACACACACACACACAAAAATACCATAAAATACACTCGCTTACATTTTACTGTTGTTTTTGTTGGGAAATGTTGATTTCGCTGAGGTTTAATGAATGTTTCAATGGCACCGATTTATATGGAAATGAGTAAGTGGGTTGTAAGCAATAGCGGTAAATCGATGCCGCGTACGTTATGCGCGTAGGGTGCTTGATTGCTTGATTTCATGATTGCTGTGTACAATGCAGGCTTTTTTCTTCTCTTTTTTTTTTTTGTTGCTAATGAATGAATATGGAAAATGATACCTGCTGCAATACCACAGTGCGGAAATAAGAAATTGCTTTTCCATGGTAATTGTTTAAACTTGCGATTTGTATACTCTTGCCCTCGCTGTGTCTGTTAGAGGAGAAGTATTTCAAGAGTAATCTTAAGTGAATGCTGATTTCAGAGTTGCTGCTTTGTTAAATTCATTTTATTCAATTGTAATTTTTTTATTTTACTTGTTTAAGCTTATTAACTTTTTTATTTTATTTCATTTCATATTCTTTTATTTTATCTTTTTTGGTTTTTTTTTCATTTAATTTAAAATTGTTTTATTTTTCTATATAATTTCGTTCTTATTCTTTACTTTGTTTTATTTTATTTTATTTTATTTTATTTTATTTTATTTTATTTTATTTTATTTTATTTTATTTTATTTTATTTTATTTTATTTTATTTTATTTTAAATTAAATTTTTTAATTTGCTTAATTAAATTATTAAGTTCAGTCAGCAACATTTTCCAATAAGTCAGTGACAACAATTGTTAAAACTGAAATAGTTAAAAAAAAAATATGATAAAATTCAAACCAAAATACAATAAAATTGATTGCATTTCTATTTGCCGGAATAAGAAAGGAATAAAAAATATAGATTTAAATTGAAGCATATATTATATGTATATGTATGTCGAATTGTTTTTTATTTAAGCAAAACATAAGCAAAAACGAAAAATGTATAAGCTAAATTTAAAAACTGTTAAGTATGTTAGATATTTAGTGCTATAAATAAAAAGAAAATATATTTAAAAAAAAATTAACTAACTCAGATAATGATATATAAATATATATATAATTAAGTATTGCTGTTTTTTGCGCCTCGTTGTAATGTTAATGGCATAGAAAAAATTATAAAATTTATATAATTACCTATTAATACACATATAAATGGTGTGTAAAGAATAAGTGAAATTAGTATATATGTGCGTATATGTTATAATATTTAAAGAAAAAGCTGTTAATCAAATTTGCATTTAGCTGACAACTAATACATACATACATATATACATGTAATATAGGTATAAATAATTATAAATACGCATATAGTTATATACACAAATATTTAGATTTTACATAATAATATAATACATAGTATTCAAACGTATGTAGTTAAGTGTATGCGAATTTACACAACAAAATAATTTATTGAGGCAGACAAATTTGAAATGAATATACTTAAACGCATAGATATACATACTTATATAACATTAACTATTGTGGTACATAGTATATGACTATAAATACATATATGAAAATAAGTAAATGAAAATTCCTTGGAAATTTCATAATATTTATTAATAAATTTTATTAAAAAAAATGGCTTAATAAATAAACAAATTCGAAAATAATATAAGTGTACAGCTGAAAAAAATTTACTAAATGTTTATATGCAGATAAAAAGTAAAACTTAGAAAATATTGATTTTAAGTAAAAATTTGTAGGCTTTTTGTAAATAAAGAAATGCCAATTTTATTTCCTTTAAATATTACGTCTCTTTTGGAGTTTATTGTTAAATATTTGTTCTTATTTAAAGTAATTGTTCTTTTATTTGTATATTTTTGGCAAAAAATCGAGTTTTGATCACAATTTTATTTTTATATTATTATTTATTTCGTATTTTCTGAGAAAAAAAAGAATTTATAAAAACAGTTTTTTTTTTTGATCGACCGCAAGTCCACTTTCCAGAAAACGTGAACTCCATATTAATTCAGGTCCAAAGCTGACTCTGAACCGAACTTCAAGTAAATCCAAATATCAATGCAAATTTCCCTACAAATGCGCTCCTCACTTTCTGTAAGAAAAAGTTTTGGCAATGGTAGTTTACGCAAAAAACTGTCTAAGTATCAAATTTCATGAAAAGCTTTGGATTTAAAACGAAATCAGATTTTTTGACTTAGATTGGTATCAGACCGGAAATCGCTCTCTTACCGAAAGCCTACGTCAGAAAACACCCTCCAAGTTATAGGCCTCCACGATCAGTGATTTAGGCTGCTGGTTATTCCATCAATCATAATCTCAAAGCCTATCATAAAAAAAAATCGATTAAATTTTGAAAATAATATATTTATATTACTTATCTCATAGTGTTTTTCAGAAGACATATCGAGCGCAGCCCGACGCGTATCTTACTTAGACATATATTATTCCCTTCTTCGTGATATCATTTGGTTTTGAGTTTATAACTAATTAGTTTTTAATTATTTTATTTCACTTTTTGATTAGTTTATTTTCGGTTTAAACTTTATTGTTTTTTATTTTTTTTTTTAAATTTATTTTAATTTTATTTGTCTCATTTTATTCAGTTTTATATGTTATTATTTTGTTTTATACGATTTAATTGTATATTAAATTTTTGTTATTTCAATTTATTTCATTTAAATTAATTAATTTTAATTTTGTTTTATTTTTCTCATTTTTTTACATTTCAATTTTTTTATATTATTTTATTTTTTTCTACTTTGGGTTATTTAATTTAATTTAATCTAATTATTCTTATATTATTTTATTTTACTTTATTTTATTTTATTTTATTTTATTTTATTTTATTTTATTTTATTTTATTTTATTTTATTTGATTTTATTTTATTTTATTTTATTTTATTTTATTTTATTTTATTTTGCTTACCTTATTTTACTTTAAGCTGAAAATCTTACAAAATCATATATGTATATATCAGGTATAAGGCGCTTTTTATATATTTTTGCATATTTGTATAAAACTAACTTATGCTGAGTGTAGACTTTAATCTGTGCTTTGAGTTTAATAAGTCAAGGAAATTTGAATTACATATAAATGCTCTGCATATATTCCTGTGTATACTAAAAAATCTATTTAGCTAAAATACCGAGCATATATACGTGTATGTGTGGGGTTACATAAGTATTTGCATATAAAAATACCAATGAAAGTGTTCACGTTAATAAAATTATTTAAGTGAAAATCAAAATTGAAGCATACAAATGAATATGTACTTGTTTGTATGTGTGTATTTGTGATTTGTAATAATATTAGAATTGAACAAAAATTTAAATGAATTTCGTAAAAATTTAATATTCAATAAGAGGCAACATATGTATGTATGTATAAGTTTAGGT